ATTGGCGTATTCGAAAGCATTGAACAGAAATTTCTCGTAAGTGGACATAGCTTTATGGCCTGCGATCGTGATTTTGCACTCATAGAAAAAAGAAAGAGAACAATGAAGAGTTTTGTACTTAATGATCTGCATGATGTTGTCCGTTCAGCGAAATATAGTCCTCCGATTATATAATAGAATTTTGTTATATGTAGATAAGCTACCAAGTAACCAGTACATTTTCTTGAATTGTATATCTAACTCTTGTCTTCTTTTTTAACATGGACGTTCCAGCGAAGTCTTGCATCTAATGTAATACCTAAATATTTTACCGAGCTAGTATAAAGGACCTGGGCATTATTTATGTTAATTGGTATTCTTTGATCATTTTTGTTAGTAAAATTAATATTAACATATTTTGTTTCGTTTAGTTTAATACGCCATCTTTTGGTCCAATTATTTATTTGATTAACTAATGTTTGTAGTTTATTTGCAGCTTCTTCATGATCTTTATCTATCGTTAGGATGGCAGTATCATCTGCAAATGTAGCTATTGTGTCTTGTTCTAATTTGAATATGTCACAATTGTATAACAGATACAAAGTGGGTCCCAGGACGCTTCCCTGTGGTAATCCTGCTTTAATTTCTTTCAATTCAGAGTATGCTTCATCTTGTGTTACTCTAAAGCAGTCTTTGGGGACGGAACCCTTTTGAAAAGCGAAATAGTTGACGGAGCCCTAAACACATTTCTAAAAAAAGGTCCTCAAGGTAGGTCCCTCTCTTTTGTGGCGATATTACTGCTTCTTTTTTTTATGACTATTATTTTCTTTCGCGGAGCCCCCACAAGGGCTTTGCGAAGCTCCAGGGCCCCGCGGAGCACACCTTGAGTAACGCTGCTCTAAAGTATCTATCTGAAATGTATGAATCCAATAGCTCTGAATATGGCTGTGGAAGTAGCACATGTAGTTTATGTTTTAAGCCATCATGCCGTACTTTATCAAAAGCCTGCGCAACATCGAGGAAGGTGGCTGAACAGATTCTATAAACCTGATCTACAGTTGAATGGTTTTCTCTAAAGCCGAACTGGTAATCTGGAATTAGTTTCCTTTCTTTAAAGATGGGTTTCAGTCTTTTTATTAGTATTTATTCAAATAGTTTCGTTCGCAGGTTTTCCTTGTTTTTGGTTTGGTGGTTTAACCTTCTATAATATGTTGTACTAATTACTTTAAAATAACCGGTAAAGCAACTTAGTTATTTTATTTCAACAGAATCTGTTAATAAATTTTAAAATACGCCTTATTGGAGTTGCCTGTTTTTACAATTTCTATATCGAGGGAAGTTTTGGGTAAACACTTTACACCGATTGTTTAATTCAAAAGTAGAGAATAAGTAAATTTGTGTAGGTTATACATTGTTTTCCATTCACAGTTAACGTATTTGAAAGAAAAAAACCACCCTGTATATTCTGCAAACTAAACCATATACATAATGAAATATTTCTTGACAACTCGATGTACTATTAAATCTCAGGAAGATTTATTTTATTAAATAAGTATCACGAAATAGAAGAAAAGACGTAAAAAAACTATTAGTGAAAGGAAAAACTGATAGATTGACAGCAGGTACATCGTAAATTCATCAAACCTTTTAAATTGAGGTTTATTAAGTTTGGAAAGTAGAATATCAAGTCAAAACTAAAATCATCTCCTATTACTGCTTATGTAACTATACTTCAATTATTTATTTACGGTCAATTTTATTACAAAATAAGAGCATTACTAGAAAAGTATGCAAATATTGCATATGTAATGTATACTGAGGTAATCGCAGGATTATATATTAATTAAAAATATTCTAGTAGTATTACGATAGTCATGAAATATCACTTAAAACAACGCATATACTAATTACTTCTATTTACTTAACTTGCATCATCTAGTTTATTTTTTATATGCGAAATATAATTTATTGTACCACTATAACAAAATCCGAATAAAGTTTTTTTCTACTACTATAATACATATATAGAAAGTATCGATTTTTTTTTAAAGGTAGAAACTTGAACATTGGAATTGTAGGTTCTCATCATAAATAAATAATGAAGTCTTTTAGGGTTTTTGTATTTTCACATTTTAAGGGGGGAAACGGGAGGTGAAAATTTGTTTGAAAGTATGTATATATTTTTTTTGATCAAAAATAAATAATGATTTGTTTCATGGTTTTTGGATTTTCACATTTTAAGGGGGGGAAAATAAATAAAAATAAATAAAAATAAATAAAAATAAATAAAAATAAATAAAAATAAATAAAAATAAATAAAAATAAATAAAAATAAATAAAAATAAATAAAAATAAATAAAAATAAATAAAAATAAATAAAAATAAATAAAAATAAATAAAAATAAATAAAAATAAATAAAAATAAATAAAAATAAATAAAAATAAATAAAAATAAATAAAAATAAATAAAAATAAATAAAAATAAATAAAAATAAATAAAAATAAATAAAAATAAATAAAAATAAATAAAAATAAATAAAAATAAATAAAAATAAATAAAAATAAATAAAAATAAATAAAAATAAATAAAAATAAATAAAAATAAATAAAAATAAATAAAAATAAATAAAAATAAATAAAAATAAATAAAAATAAATAAAAATAAATAAAAATAAATAAAAATAAATAAAAATAAATAAAAATAAATAAAAATAAATAAAAATAAATAAAAATAAATAAAAATAAATAAAAATAAATAAAAATAAATAAAAATAAATAAAAATAAATAAAAATAAATAAAAATAAATAAAAATAAATAAAAATAAATAACATAAATAAAAATAAATAAAAAAATAAATAAAAATAAATAAAAATAAATAAAAATAAATAAAAATAAATAAAAATAAATAAAAATAAATAAAAATAAATAAAAATAAATAAAAATAAATAAAAATAAATAAAAATAAATAAAAATAAATAAAAATAAATAAAAATAAATAAAAATAAATAAAAATAAATAAAAATAAATAAAAATAAATAAAAAAATAAATAAAAATAAATAAAAATAAATAAAAATAAATAAAAATAAATAAAAATAAATAAAAATAAATAAAAATAAATAAAAATAAATAAAAATAAATAAAAATAAATAAAAATAAATAAAAATAAATAAAAATAAATAAAAATAAATAAAAATAAATAAAAATAAATAAAAATAAATAAAAATAAATAAAAATAAATAAAAATAAATAAAAATAAATAAAAATAAATAAAAATAAATAAAAATAAATAAAAATAAATAAAAATAAATAAAAATAAATAAAAATAAATAAAAATAAATAAAAATAAATAAAAATAAATAAAAATAAATAAAAATAAATAAAAATAAATAAAAATAAATAAAAATAAATAAAAATAAATAAAAATAAATAAAAATAAATAAAAATAAATAAAAATAAATAAAAATAAATAAAAATAAATAAAAATAAATAAAAATAAATAAAAATAAATAAAAATAAATAAAAATAAATAAAAATAAATAAAAATAAATAAAAATAAATAAAAATAAATAAAAATAAATAAAAATAAATAAAAATAAATAAAAATAAATAAAAATAAATAAAAATAAATAAAAATAAGTACTACGTGCAATCTGGTCTTTTTTTAGGAACTCATGCATTTTTTTTATACTAAAAACACTTACTCCACGCGTGCGAAGCCGCGGGCAACAGCTAGTAGTTTATAAAAACGTCAGATTTGATTCGCTAATAAAATACCCTACTAATAATTTTATATCAAATAATAGTGTTTCTTACATTACTAGCATTACATCCAATGATTTTCTTGAATATAATATTAAATTTTCCCTTAAATGCAGCATTTTTGATGATCTACAAGATGTGATAGATATGTATGTAATTTTTACACTACAAACAACAATTTTTTTTAACTTGTCTTCAGCATCATCTTCACTATCTGAACAAAAACTCATCTACCATTTTATTGCAGCTTATTTTACACAGTAGGTAACGCTTAAATAATAAATTCACTTGAATAAACATGTTAACAATGAACAACTAATTACTACAATAGTATGTGAAATTATTTATAAAAATTTTATGTAGTTAGTAATTAACAAATTGACTTCATTTTTATAATAAATTATATAAATATTATTTTGAAATGGAGTTTCTACGATTACGATATTAAATTCTTGCAATATAAATAATTCGGTGTTTGAATGATCGCTGACTCGCGTTAAGCTTTAAAATACATTATAATACAGGGTGATTTTTTTTCAAAATCAGTTAAATGTGTAAGGTTAAGTGGAAAAAAAAATTCCATAATTTTTTTTTTTTTTATTAAAGTTTGTTCATTGGATTATTCGCCTTTGAAAAGAGAGATGGTAAAAAAAAATTCAAGGTACCTTCCAAATTTAAAATTATATTTCAAAAAATAAATAATTTTGTAATTTTGATTAGGGTTTTTTATTCTTCCAATATTAAATAATAATAGAAAGTTTAATAAAACACACTGGCACTGATAGAAAATATTCTACTAAGGTTCGTACATTAGTTTATTAAAAAAATCTAATATTTTGTTGTTTTAAAATAAGAGGATTTGATTGGCTATAAAACAGATATTTAAAATTTCACTTAGGTATAATACAACTAGTGCCTAAATTATTTGCGAAAATTTTTATGAACTCGCGAATATTTTAAAAATTATTTCGAGCCGAAGATGATCATTTTTTAAAAGTTGAAATTCATCCCAGAACTCCCATGTTTCTATAATTTACCTTTTGAAATTATTTAAAGGGCTGGTTAAAAAAATAATATAATTTTGAAAAATATAAATTACGGGGGTCAACAGGAACTCGGCCCTTAAATTTTCAATTTAAATACAAATTTAGAACGTTTTTTTTTAATAGTTATTAAATTATTTTAATTTGAATTTAATTTAAATTGAAACATTTCTTTTTAAATGTAAACTGTAAGAAATTAATTTAATGATTAAATTACCTTTTAGAAAGAATGAATCTCCTACCCCTATAAAGATGATCCATTTTAATCAAAGTTGCGAATTTTCAGACAAAAAAAAAACGTTATTTCCACTTGACGACACCGACTCGCGACCGTAGATATTCAGTGCATATCAGACCGATTTAGTGCTCCAGCACTTTGTAGAGCGCGTGCAGAACTGACAATGTGTACCACAGTACCACGATGGTTTTACCGGTACCATCATCAGACCATCATTTGCTTTGGGCATATCTTCATTCATCCGAACGCATATGCATAGATACGTACCGGAACAAAGAACTCGAAAAAGTAAAAATTGCGATTGTTATACGGGGTGTGTCACAAAGAACTAATAGTTTACTGTAATAAACATATATTGTGTTCGAAAATTTATAATAATAGTGGTTCCCTTCGAAAAAAATTGAATGTCGTCACTTTTTCAATGATATCTCATAAATTTATAACTGCACCAATAATTGACACTATTAGACGCTGATTTGTATTAAATAATTATTTTCACCAATAACAAAAAAGCTTATAGTTTCTTGAGACCATTAGTTATGTATTTTTAGTTCTAATATTTTTGCTTTTCATGAAATAAATATTATAAAAAAAGTATTTTGAAGTACCAGTCATTGACACTTGATTTTTTTCATGTACCAGTAATTGACACACCAATTATTGACACAAATTATTATACTTTTAATTTTAAATACACTAAGTAAATAAAAATAAACAGCAAATTCATAACACAAAAAATAAAAACAAAAAATGAAAATTTATGGGTGCTTTAGGCTTCAAAAATATCAATATTTTTTGAAAATACATATTTTATTCTGTCGCCGACATTGTGTAGTTCCGGTTGGGATAACTTTTTTATGATATCCTCTATCTTGATTGTTGAAATATCACTATCAACAAGTTTGAAGGTATTCGTTTCATTAGTTGATTTAAGGGATATAACTTCTATATCATTTCGGGAATATTTCTTCTGAACTACACAGATATGCCTATAAAAAATTCTCTTTCCTCATAAGAATTTCGCTAAAATAAAATCTTCTACATGGATATCGTCGTATTTGATTGGTATTTCGTTCTCTTCTTCATTTTCTAAATTGATACTGACATCATCAATACTGTCTCCAATTTCTATCCATTCTTCGTTTTCGGATGAATTGTCAGAACTTTCCCTAATTACTGACTTAGCCTTGTTTTGTATTTTTATAATTTTTTTTCCCTTTTTCGTTTTCTCTCTTCTGCCCGTTTTTTTTTCTGTTCTTCTTCTCTCTTTTTCTCAGAATCCTTTTTTGTGTGGTATTTTTGCCAAATTTCTGACGTAATAGCACAAGGAATTTGCTCTTTATTCTTTTTTTTTTGTGTTTTTTACTTCTTCCGGCCAAAACAAGGCTTGGAAACTTGTTTCTTTAAAGATAATACATTGAACGGCGTTGTATTTTCCAATGAATTTAACGGAAATCTATCATTTTGTGATACAGTAGGAGGTGTAATATTGACATCAGAATGTATAACACTTTATAATAAGAGTGGACCCAGAACTGATCCCTGAGGAACCCCACTCAAGACTGGTCTTTCAAGTGAATGCGAATTTCCAACTTTAACACAGTACTTTCTATCAGTTAAGAATGACTCGATCCATTTAAGTAAATCACCATGTATACCAAGGTGTTCTAACTTATGTAGTAATTTTCGTTTCGGCACACGATCAAAAGCTTTCGCAAAATCCAGGTAAATTATGTCTATAGATTTTTTCCTGTCTAATGAAACTGTCCACTCATTTACACATCAAAGCAAATTGGTCATGGTTGATCGCCCTTTTACAAATCCATGTTGCTCTTTGGGAATGATTTCTTCCACTAAGAGAAACTGAGAAACGTGCTCTGTTATTATGGATGTGAGGCTGATTGGGCAGTAGTTATTAGAGTCTAGTTTGTTTCCTTTCTTGAAAATGGGTGTTACAGAAGCTGTTTTTTAGATAGAGAGTAATGTGTGTGTATTAAAAGACAAAGACATTATAATAGATACAGGAACTGATATGGTATTAGAGCATTTTTTTAAAAATAGAGAAGGTATTTGATCTAGACCCGGAGAGGAGTTGTTTTTTAATGTTAAAAGGTGACGTTTGACAATTTCAGGAGTAAAATTGAGCCGTTCTAAGGATGAAGGAATTCTTTCGGGTGAGATATCTGGTAACTGATCCTGGGGAGGTTCATTGGTGAAAACTTTTGTAAAGGTATTAGCTAAAAGTTCAGTCGTTTCGAAATTATTTTGGCAGGTACTTCCATCTTCTTTATTTAGTAAAAGAATGGATATTTTTGATGACAGTGAAGATTTAATATATTTATATAATTTTTTATAGTTTTGGCTGCATGCTATCGACTCTTTATATTCTTCTCGGCCCTCATTTATAAATTTCTTTAGGTCCTTGGAAAAATTTTTGTGACATTCTAGATCAACAATATTATTTGATCGCTTATATTTACGCCATAATTTACTTTTATGTCTAATCAAGGATATTAGTCCTCCGTTGATCCACGGTTTTAATTTATTTTTGTAAAACACCTTCTTTTTACAGTATTGGATTTTATGAGTAGCAATAACGGTTGCGAATTTATTCCATACAACTGCCAGATCTCCCGAGTCACCTAATATTTCTATCCAGTCGATGGTAGATAAATGACGATTTAAGTTATCGAAATCGATGATTTCATATGATTTTTGTGAGATTGGTTCTCTATGTTAAACTGTATACGACTTATGATGAGTGCATGATCGGATATTCCTATCGGAGATTGAATGATAGGGTCAGTTAATAATTATTTATCGTTTACAAATATATTGTTGACTCGGAATCATGTTGGATCTGTTTTAAGTTGTTGTAAATTAGAGCTTAGAACAAAGTTCAAAAATTTATTTTTTGAATTTACATCACTTGGAGTGAGAGTAACTGGCCACGAAATCACCAATAATAATAACATTTTCTAGTGAAGACAGATATTCAAGTTTTTCAATAAGGATTGTGTCTTCAGCTAGTTGAGAGTCTCCGGGACGATAAATACAGATTAAATGAAGAGTAATAAAGCTAGAATAATTTTTGAAACCTAATAATTCCATATTAGGGACACTAATGTCAAGAGGAGTAACAAAAAAATGTTGTGTAATATCTGATGATAAATAAATACAGACACCTCTACCGCGACGGTCTCTTCGATCGCATCTGTATAGAGAATAATTCAAAATATCATACATAGAATCAGAATCATTTAAAGTTAACCATGTTTCTGTGATAAGAATAATCTTCGGTTTTAAATTTTGTACAGAGCATAATAATTCATTAAATTTAGAGTTGAGGGTTGCCAAGTTCGTATATAAAAATAGCCAGTCGTAAAAACAAAATTTATCGAGATTATTGACGAAATTTCACGATCTTTGGGACACCATGTATATATTTTATAGTTAAGTCCGGTTCTCCATTATTTTTCTTTAACTCAAGTTCGGTCATTAATTATTTTAGGCATTCAATTTGATTGGGCGTTTTATCATCGATAATAGTTATTTTTTTAGTGGAGGCTTTTTCTAGAAGTTTCTTTTTGTTTCGCAAAATATGCCTTGCGTCATATTCGTTATGCATTATCAGTTTAATCATTTTAGGAAATTTGGTATTGTCCTTGCCAACGCGGAAGAATGTAACCGGATTCTGATCACTTCATACATTGTGCAAAATGTCTTGGATAATAGAATTATCATGATCTTTTTTAGTTTGGACATCTCCTACCATCTCTGGTACACCTCTTATAAAAACGTTTCTCGCACGATTTATGCGATCAACTGCTTCATTTGCAATTTTATTAGTAAACTGCGGGGATGAAAAATAATCAACTGTAGATAGTTTACTTTAAATTGCTTCTAGCTTCCCATTTATAATGGTAATTTTATCATCTATCTTGTCAATCTTTGATTGAAGACTAGCAAAAGATTCAAAATTAGATGTACAAGTATGGCACAGAATTCAACTAGCTTTCCTTGAGAGTTAACATACCTAATTATTGTGTTACATTGATATTTTTAAGCAATATCTGTTGAGTCGTCTACTTGAATGGAAAAAAATTGCAATAACTTAATTCCATTTCAATATATTGAGAAATACAGTTTATTAATTCATTTTGAATTATTTTGGAATTTGAGGCAAATACAAGCGAAATTTTTTTATAGTTCTTCAATGTCCACAGAACTGGCCGACTAATCCAGTCACTGTATAAAAATAGTCCCGACTGGAAGCAAACCGAATCAACGCGTCAAGTGTATTAATCGACTAGATCGAAACGTGCCGTTACCATGGCAACCATCATAAACGCGCCGATAGAAGAGACGCGTGTTCGGCGGTTTTATGCATAAAGCGTCAAGCGCTCTTTTCGCTCGGATTAGGATACCTTTCTGTTGTATTATATTTTCAAAAACAAGCGAGCCGGGACGGTCGGATTTTTTTTATCAAGCGCCTCGTTCGTTTCATACAGTGGTCCAGATACCTCGAAATTAGGTACAGTTTTGGAGGTTTCTGTTTTGTAATTTGTATAGAGACACAAAAATGCAGGGCATTTTGTTACAGAAAAAGAAATATTTAGCTATTCAGTTGACTTTTTTATTATTTTCTATTGAAATTTTGGTGAACCAGCGCATCACCTGCGTCATCTAGCGAGACGCCATTGCTTCGAACTGATACGAATGTCAGCGAGCGCACCCGAAAGCTATAAAGTCGTCACTACCTGCTGCTCTTAAATATCCACAATTAAGGACAGGTAGTTCTAGAACTTAACGATCTGCGTATGCTCAGATGTCAAAATAAGATCGGTACTAATAGTGAACTTACAATATCTATCTAATAACATTTATCTTCATTAGGCAACTTTTCATGCACTTTATACACTATTCTGTGCACATGTTTTAATATATTTTTATTAAATATACTTACTTTTCTTTAGCTGAAGTAATAAAAATATATAATAATAATAAATAATTCTTTTCACTTGTTTTGTAATAATTGGCATTATTATCATTTGAAAAATATAAAGAATTTACCAAAAATCTAAATAAGTATTTTAATGTTTTAAATTAAAAAAGAAAGACTCGTATAAAAATAAAACAAACAATCAGATTAATAATCTAGTCAATGGCTACATTGAGCGTGACATTTTTAAAAATACAACCATCACGTACATTTTGGTTTATATAGAGACGAGACAGAAAGAAAGTCTCTTTTAGGTAAACTCTCAGTCGAGTTCGAACTAAGGTGCAGAACTTTCGCTCAAGGGGCGAAAGCTCTCGTTTTTTTTTTGGACTCTTTAAGTCCCAAAACAATGTGATGTGTAGAGTAAAGTTTTGTGTACGATTTGTAAATTATGGGTAAATATTTTTAACTTAATTTTAAAGTCTTATGTTTAATAATAATTGATTGATTTACATATAAATGCCAATTTTACATTTTCGTCCCAAATTATCATATTTATCTTATCCATATTTTTATATTATTATGTAGTTATGGTGCTTTATTCCCTAAATGGAATTTTATTCATTTTTTCTTAAGTCTATTAGTCAAATTTTTATACTTATTGTTCATATACATTTGTTATTGTTTTAATACTTATTATTAATTTCTCTTCCCTTTCCAAACCAGTAAAATACTCCGAGCATTTGAGAAGCCTCGGCGTTTCTATTCCCTTAGGACTAAAAGAGTCTAAAACTAGTTGCCAAGAACCGCTCGACTATGCTATTAAGGGATAATTTTTATTCTTTTAATTTAATTTTTTTATTATTTTTTATTTGCCACTGGTGAATGGATGTTCCTTCTGGACTCCAGGACCCTTTGGTTGGTGACGGCGCTGCCCTAATCCCATAATAGTATATTAACAACAGTAGCTAAAGACCTATCAGTAGTTACAAATGGTCTTTAGGCTAGTTGGTTGTTACAGTTTTATAAATCAATATACTTTTATCAAAAAATACATTTTTAATTACGAATTCTATTAAAAATGATACTGTCAATAAATGCAAAATTACCCTTTAGTACATATTTTAGTTAGCGCTGCCGTCAGCAAGGAGCGAATAGATGTATTGTCAGACGTAATAAAAATATCTAAATTAGAATTATTGGACAGTAATTGTCGGAAATGTCACTGGAATTGTTATTAGATTTGCTGAATTTTTTATTGCATTTGTTAGAGTTTTCGCAGGAATTGTTGGAATTGTTGAAATTGGTTTGCATAATTTGGAACAGCGGTTGACCCCCTTTAACATGTGCAGGATAGAAAAGAATGTATTACCGACATTGTATTTTACCAATTGGTATAGTCTATTTTTATGTATGAGAGAGTAATAAAACAGCATTTCTAATGCAAAACTTAGTACGGTCATTTTAAATATTTTTACAGAATAATCTAAATATTTCCTAAAATTGTAATAAATGTACCTGAGCTATTACAAGTTTTGGGTCTTTTATTGGTTCTTTATAAACATAAACTGTACAGAACAATAGAAAAAGGTTTGGACAGGCCAAAAGCCCTGTGTATTAAAGATTACATAGCCGTATCTTAAGATTATTTTCAATAAGTACCTATTTGCCAATTTTGTTTTATCTTAATTCCAAAAATTTCTTACAGTAATCGAATTATAAGTAGATAAATACCTTCCCAACAAATTTCACCGAAAATGCGATTATAGGTTTTCCATTTAATAAGGAGGTCCAAGTTGTGTATTCTTGACAGTTTACTAAATGTCGTTTAGTTGCAATTTGCAAGGTGCAGTGAGAATTCTAGTGTGATCATGGAAAATTTGGAAGGGCCGCGTAAACGACAAAAAATCGATCCTTTAACAGTTAATGAAAAAACATTAATATTTAATTGTTTTAAATCATTTACAGACAAACATTTATGTAAAAGTGTTGATGACACAGTGGAATTAGTTAGTATTACGCTTGGTGTTGGGAAATCTACGATTTACAGAGTTGTTAAAGAAGAGAAATGTGGCGAGTTTCAAACAGCACGTAAAGCTCCGGGAAAACCAAAATTTCAATTAGAAAATCTTTTGAAAGAAAGACTTCGAAGGAAAGTGCATGCGTTCTTCTTTAGAAAAGAATTTTCGACAGTAAACAAAGTTCTTGCCACGGTTCGAGATGATAAGGATTACTCTGAAATGAGTCGAAGCACACTATGGAAACTTTTAAAAGAAATAGGTTTTCTATGGAAAAAGCATTCCAGAAAGTCTATTTTAATAGAAAGAAGCGATATTGTAGTATGGAGAAGAAATTACCTAAGGACTATAAAAGAAATGAGAAACCAAAGAAGAAATATATTTTATTTAGATGAAACATGGATCAACGAGGGACATAAACCAAATAAATTTTGGCAAAATGAAACTGTTACAAGTCGAAGACAGGCTTTTTTAAATAATTTATCTACTGGTTTAAATCCACCATCAGGAAAGGGGCGCAGACTAATAATAGTACACATCGGTAGTTCAAACGGTTTTGTTAAAGGTGGTTTATTGACTTTTGAATCTACTCGTACCGGTGACTACCATGAGGACATGAATGCTGATGTCTTTAAAGAGTGGTTCAAACAAATTATAGATCTTCTTCCTCAGAACTGTATAATAGTAATGGATAATGCAAGTTATCACTCGAGACTTATAGAAAAAATGCCCACAACCAAGTGGTTAAAAAAAGATTTACAGAATTGGCTAAATTCAAAGAATATTAAGTTCCATCCCGGTTCTGTGAGAAAAGAACTGTATCATTTGTATTTCCTTCATAAAGAGAAATTCAAAAAATATGAAATTTATGAAATTGAAAAAAATCGTGGGATGACGGTGGTTAGATCACCACCATATCATTGCGAAGTAAACCCGATTGAACTGATATGGGCACAGATAATGGGAGACGTTTCAAGAAAAAATAATTCTTTTAAAATGAGTGATGTTAAACAGTTGTTTTTGGAGGCTGTAAATAATGTGAAGCCTGAAAACTGGGAAAAGGCAGTAAATCATACGATTAAAGAAGAAGAGAAAATCTGGAAGTTGGACAATATTACTGATGAAATGATCGAGCCCCTCATTGTAAATATTGGTTGCGACAGTTCATCTTCTGATTTCGATTCTGATTTGGATTTGTAGGCAAGAAGTAGTTTTTATATTAAAATTATTATTTATGAACGTAACGTTGTTTAAAAGTCAAAGTTTAAACCCTTATACCTACATAACCCGTTTGACACAATGTTCTTAACATACTTTGTGGAAAAATAAAACATTTTAGAAAAAATTGCACTTTTTTACCTTCAGCTGTTTAGAAATTATAAGCAGGTTGATTAGGTGAAAATATAAGTGTATACTCGAGGAATAACGTCAAAAAATATTTTAACTGTCTACTAAAAGAAGTGGTACGCCTATGGATTACGAACGCTTTATTATTTTAATATTCTCTCATACATAAAAATAGACTATAGCTGGCTACTAATTTTGTAGGTGATTATTGTTCTTAAATGAAATAATTGGGTAAAGAGTATCATTGAAAAATTTAAAATAAACAACAAAAAAGAAATAAGAAAATATATTTCATTTATTGTCAACCACACAATATTTAAACAATGAATTTGTTTTTCAATAATAAATTCATCACAATTTACCAAAAAAATACATTAACCTGAAAGTATAACTTATGTACAAACAAACCAGAAACTAAACTGAAAAAAAATCTACTTTTACTTTTAATGGTTACTCCTTACATAACATCAACAAAGTTACCTACCCAAATATAATATTTACATTTTTAGAGAAATCTTAATCATAAGCGGTAAATATTAATATAATTATTGTGATACTATTAATCTACTTATGTGATATTATAATAATTAATGGTAAGTATGTGATTCCGGTAATAAAAATAAATCACAAAAGTTCATCTTCTTCGAAATGTTTCGCTTCACACACTTACAGATCTTGGCTGAAGATCTAAAAACAAAATAATGGTTTAGAACATAAATATATTAAAACTAGAATCGAATTTGTTCAAGAAAATAAAAAATTACTAACAAGCAAAATACTGTCAAAAATAAACAAATGAAAATAAGGGTATATAAATACCGAGAAGAAAACAAAAAAACTAAATGGGATTTTAACAAAGAAAATAATGAATGAAGACGTTGAAGTAATAGGTAGGAATAAATAATGAAATGGCAGAAAAAGAAGGATAGAAAAAAATGTAGTGAATGACATCATAATGGCCAATGATTTGCCCCTTTTTATTAAATAGATTTAGACAGTTTTAACGTATAATTTACATAGAATTATGAGAAATACAAATCATAAATTAATTTATTCGCTTACAATGAGGTCTGGCATCAGTTTCCTGTTTTTCCTGTTCGTGAGATTCTTGATCCTGGGGCGTCATGGCCACGGGGATGTTAATAGGAATACCTCTGGCATACGTTTGTCTTCCGTTCATTTCGTTGGCGCTGTGCCTTTGCTCCTGGACGAATTGGACGTCCTGCTGAGGTACTTCATCGGAATCGGTTTCTGATACAGCCACTATGACACGGTTAGGCAATGGCAACCTTTAATAAAAATATAAATAAATATTCTTCAACATCGAAAACTGAACCATTTACAGGATTGAAACGTACCGTATGTAATCTCAAAAAGTACAGGGTTGTACATAAAAATTTAAGTGTATTTAAAATATAACTAAGTTTATTTCATACCTATGCAACTGCGTAAGAACTTCTTCGGGAATGGGCAACCTCTGTCCAGCTTGTCCCATTTGTTCAATTTGAACAAATCGTGGACGATCTTCCGCATCAGCAGTTTGATCTGGTTGGTTCGTTTGTTGAGGAATAATTTGTTGTTGTTGTTGCTGTTGCTGTTGTTCTTGCTGTTCTTTCATTTGCTGTTCACGGATTTTTTGGCTTTCGATGATTTTTTGGGCAACAATTTGTTGGACGATGTGTTGTAAGATTGGGTTGGGTGGGAAGTCGTCTAGAAAAAAATGATTTAGGTCAATAATATGATATGAGTAAAGTTATTTTTTATCAAAATGGTTCAAACAGCTGCTTATAATAACATCACTATTGGAGAAAAAGAATTAACGACCCAGTTGAAATCGGAGAAAAAAGAAGAGCAAGAGGATGGCAACAATGTAGATACAGTAAACGCCAAATCTAAAGAACCCAGCGTTTACTTAAAAATCGCCAAGCTCATTCACAATTTGAACCTTGTCCTTGCTTGCGTAACGACTAGATCATTGTTTGTTTCTGTGTTTTGGTTAACGTGACTGGTTTTATTTTTGATAATGTCTTCTATTCGTGAAGTAATATACAATGTTTTTAAATATTTTGACGCAACAAAAAAGAAAGGAGTTACTTTAGATGATATTAAACTTCAAACTGCACAAGCAACAGGTAAACATATTCTGTAGTTTATTTGCAATTAAACTTGCGTAGTTTTCTATATTTTGATATAATCGAATGCGGCCACACCGCTTTACGGTTACCCCCATATCACCCCGACTTGAACCCTATCGAAGTGTTTTGGGCAACTGTTAATAGAAATGTCAGTCAAAGGAATGTTACCTTTAAATTAGAAGACGTAAAACAATTAGCAGAAGAGGAATTTAACAAAATCTGTATGGAGGAATGGAAAAAGTGATGTGATCATGTTATAAAGGTAGAAGATAAATGTTTTGAAAGAGAAATACAAACTGATTTATGTTCGGAAATTAATCCTATCGTCATTAATCTTAAAGAGGATTCCAGTGACGAGTCTTCTTCCAACGAAGAATCTGACGAAGACATATGAACATTATTTATTTGTGATTTACTGTTTACGTTGTTTGTATTTACTTATAGGCTATATGTACAATATAAAATTAAACATGTTTTTGTTTCTCTTAAATTTACGTAAAATCAGAAGTTATTTAGACTTTCCAGTTTTGAAATGAAGGCCCGGTATAAAAAATCGGAAGGATATATTACTTCATACACATATTATTTCATATTTTGCTTATAAAAAATTAATTTCACTTAAAATACAAAATACTAGACCACCAGAGCTCTCCTTAACCTAAAATAATGATTTTTTAATTGACTATAGAATTATGTACTAATAATAACACTAAGCAAAGTATGAACACGCATCATTCACTATTTTCCATTTATTGTTTGTCTTAAAATATACGCGCCCCTGGTTTACAACTTTCTAGGTAAGCTACCAATTCTATTCATCGGTAGGCGCGTCCTTGGTTCTTTAGATTTGACGTTTACTGTATCCATCTGATAAGGATATCCTAAACAATAAAACTCAAAAACTGAGAAGATAAATTCAAAAGATCAAGGAAGAATCAACCTCTTACCAGATGTAGAAATAGTGAAGTCACTAGAAAAATTAAAAGACATATTAATTTCATGCCACCCATCAGAAGAGAGCAGACTCAAAAAACAAAAAGCAGACTGGTTTGCTTAACATTTTGTCAGACATTTTTACAAACAACCAGATGCAGAAAGGCAATCAGATATCCAAAAACAGATTAGAACTTAATCCGAAGAAAGCACCAGGCTTCGACTTAATTACTGGTGAAATATGTATGCTATTTTTTGGTATGATTGAACAAACTTACTTGGTGCTTGTTGGGGTTGTTGGGCCTCCATATGGATTTGGATTTGAGGTTGAACGGACATTTGTTGATCTTGTTGTTGCATCATGGGCGGCAATGGTGGCCTCATGTTTTCAATTTGAAAAACTGCTGGTCCCATTGGACGCATTTGGTCTTGACGTTGTTGTTGAGGCATCGGTGGTATCATTTGTTGGGGCATGTGGGTGTTGAACGGAGAGTGGGGAATTGGGATCATCATTGGTTGGATCATGATCGTTTCTTCATCTTGGTCTTCTGGATCTTCTTCTTTTGGTTTGTTGGGACGTTCAGCACTAAAAAAACCAAACGATAGTTGTTTTAAGTATTCCACTTAATACTTTATCTAAAATCAAAATACGCACCTCTGAAGGGTTCCACTTTCGCAAACAATAACCATACGTTCTCCAGTAAGTTTTTCGAATCTAGGATTGGTGGTTAAATTGATGCCAAAAGGCAACCTAATGGTCTTAGGTTGGTGGTCAACGAATTCTTCGGCTTTCTTTTTTTCCACTACACAATTCATTTTTGATTTTTGGTTCTTCTCCATCAAATGAGAGATCAACTCATCCATGTCCATTTGTCCAGGTACCTAAAACGTTTGAGTCGTATTAGTTTTCTTTTTAAATAAATTATTGTACAGTTTCTGAATGCATGTACCATTGAGATTTGTTTCTTTAATTGATTATAATATATTGATAGATCGATTATGAAAACATAATAATTTTAATTGTTTTTTTTTACATTTTTTTTTTTTTTAATTTTTGTGGCTCTCATATATTTACATGGTAAATTTGTTGGCTAAAACCCAAGAAACCCATTAGCAAAATATATTTTTTTGCATTTTTTACTGTACCTTTGATTGAGAAGTTGTTTTGCTTGGTAGTTCTTCTGAATCAGGGTCAGAATCAGAATCTGACTCACTTTCGGATGAGTCATCATCAATGTGATTGGTCAGATCTTTTGTAGTGGGTGTTGGTTCATCGGCATGGAGAGGTTCAATTTGACGTTTGGCATTTGCTACTGCTACAGGTTGTTCCTGAAATATGAAATATTTATATAAAAATGAATTACATTTCATTATATACGGTATCGGTTATTGAACACCTTACAATACGGTTTGAACATGTGAATGTGAAAACTACAGATAGCATTAAAACAAGCAGGAAACTAATTATATAAGAGTTGCCAGCTTATGCAACCCTGCCAATGTTACAACCCGGTCGTGCCATATAAACTGATATTTTTCTCTTTTCCTGCTTGCACTAATGCTAACATTCGTAGTTTTCATATCCACTTGTACAAACCGTACTTGCCGTCACTGTATATGTACCTCAAAGGTAAAGAATCTTGTCTCCAATATTATAGAATTGAATAAATCTGACTCAAAGTTGGAAATACCTACATGTTTAAAAACTGAATACTATTTTTTTTTAACGTACGATTGTAAAACAAGACGCAGTACTTACAGTGCGCAGTACTTTTTGGAATAAATATTAAAACAATAATAATTATCAATTTCACGAAGCTTTGAGTACTCTTAAAATTCAGGTCATTAGTATCTACTTCACAAATTAACCACTGTAACAAATAATGAAAGTGTGTAAGAGTTATTATCTGGGATTTCTCTTTTAATGATTTTGTTGTGAAAATAATAATCAAACGCGGGTTATTATAAATTAGAAGTGTTAATTATTACTGTTAGAGTCAGTCTTCCAAGCAAAAAATGATCGTTTAAAAATTCAATTACGATATTTGATCGGTTTGCGTAAGATTGACGAGTCCCATACATAATATACAGTGAATTTTATTAAAAGATGATTTTATGAAAAAAATACAAAAATAAAGCAAGGCTGTTGATTGGGATGGTCAATAAAGCCCCAGAATATAATCAGTGAATATTTACAACGCACCTATCCATTTATTTTAACTTATCCAGCAGATCATAAAAATCTGGTAATTCCAAACAGGACTTCTCGCTATTAATATTCCGGACATACCTCGTATATATCGTTTCCTTGAAGTCTTACAAAAAATTATTCAAGTGTTGTGCATATAATGAGAAGGAGTTGCGATCAATATGAAATAACAGATGCATTAGCTGTTTTCGTCAGAATACAAAGGTGATCGTAAATCACAATTTTAATGATTGTAGTCGTGGCATTTTAATGTTGGATAAATTCGACGGAAGTGCAATCGCGAATTGCGAAGATTTCGTACGTAGGATCAATTTGAATGGAGAATCGTCTTCACTAAGACAATGGTGAAAGTAGGAAGCGTATATCTGAATGTTTAAATCTACTATAATCTCAAGACATGTACTGTACATCCAACAGTAAAAGAAAAACATTTATTATCATATTGGTGGATTATACAAACACAGTACATTATTTCTCGCATAAACTATTTAAAATAAATTATGTACCTCTTTTTGATTTAATTGGTTTTGATAGTATGTAGAAAGGGTGAGCCACTTTCGTACTTGTTTCATTAAATTAACATATTATATCAATTTGAGTTGTATGACTATTAAGAAAATGATTTCTCCATTGTTTTTTTCTCCTTATATTTGATATTGACATTGATAAGACAGTCACATAGTTTATTGTTTGTTCTGACTTACCAAATGTATTACACATTGATCTATAATAATTTAAATAACTAGTAAAGACATAAATGACTTGTAACTTTACTCAAAAGTAAAAAAGTCAAACGTTAATTATTATCTGGGACCAATAAATTAGTCGGAGGCCAACCCACTCCCCTAAACATACCCACACACCACACACTGACTATTGACCATTTTTTCCAAGTAAAATTTTTGGAAAATTGTATTTTTCGAAATTACAAACTCTTTAGGCTCATTAGAATTATTTTAGGGGGTGGTCGAAGGTCAAAATATAATTCTTAACCTTTTTGGATCTTTACTGTGTCTTCCTATTAATTGACAATTTTTTTTCCAAGTCGAATTTTTTTGAAATTGTATTTTTCCAAATTGCAAACTCTTTTGGGCTCATTAAAATTATTTTTGGGGTTTGGTCGTAGGTCAAAATATAATTCTCAACCTTTTTGGATCTTTACTGTGCCTTCCTATTGATTGACAATTTTTTTTCCAAGTCAAAATTTTTGAAAAATTGTATTTTTCGAAATTACAAACTCTTTGGGCTCATTAGAATTATTTTAGGAGGTGGTCGAAGGTCAAAATATAATTCTCAACCTTTTTTTATCTTTATTGTGCCTTCCTATTGATTGACAATTTTTTTTCCAAGTCGAACTTTTTGAAATTGTATTTTTCCAAATTGCAAACTCTTTTGGGCTCATTAAAATTATTTTTGGGGATTGGTCGTAGGTCAAAATATAATTCTAAACCTTTTTGGATCTTTACTGTGCCTTCTTATTGATTGACAATTTTTTTCCAAGTCAAACTTTTTTAAAATTGCAGTCTTTTGGGCTCATTAAAATTATTTTTGGGGATTGGTCGAAGGTCAAAATATAATTCTAAACCTTTTGGATCTTTACTGTGCCTTCTTATTGATTGACAATTTTTTTCCAAGTCAAATTTTTTAAAAAATTGTATTTTTCGAAATTGCAAACTCTTTGGGCTCATTAGAATTATTTTAGGGGGTGGTCGTAGGTCAAAATATAATTCTCAACCTTTTTTGATCTTTATTGTGCTTTCCTATTGATTGACAATTTTTTCCAAGTGAAAATTTTTTGAAAAATTGTATTTTTCGAAATTGCAAACTCTTTGAGCTCATTAGAATTATTTTAGGGGGTGGTCGTAGGTCAAAATATAATTCTCAACCTTTTTAGATCTTTACTGTGCCTTCCTATTGATTGACAATTTTTTTCCAAGTCGAAATTCGGTTTGGAAATTGTTTCTTCGAATAAATATCCCGTATAGGGTTTTTTGAATTATTTTAGGGGTGTTCAAACGTTGATACATAATTTAAAATGTCTTTGGATCTGATCAATTTTTATTAATCATTTTTTCAAAGTTGTTTTTCTATAATTTACCTCTTAAAAATATATTATGGGGTATTTAAAAAATAATGTGGGGAATCAGCTATAATCATCATTAGCGATAATTATCAGTGTTCTTTTTTGTAGAAGAAATACTATAATTGTACTAAATTGGATAAATTTTTACAAAAAATAACACCGTAACGTAAGAAATAGTAAAAAAAGATAAATAGATTTTTAATAGCTTTTATTTAAAGTTGTTTCAATTTAATTTACTGTCTATGGTTAAACCAAGAATATTCATTGCATTGTTGTACAGTTTCCATAAATATTTTGATGACAGTAAGTTAAATGATTAAACTTAAGCGGACACTTACCTAGTTTACAAGATAATGATGTATATGTATTCAGGTCGTAGCCTTTCATAGAATTGGGCAGTAATAAAGAAGAGACCTTCAGTTTAATCTTCGCGGTTACATCATATCACAAGCGCTTGAAACAAAGATGGATAGATATTTTTTTTTGTGTGGGTAAACTACAAGTTATTATGTGAAATTCCAGTGATACTGTTTTAGTTTTCAGAAAACGCTATACCATTCACTTCTCAACTAGAATAGAATGAAACCATTGTATGCTGGGTCACAAAGTTGTTTGAAATAAAAATATTTTTATTGGATAGAGCATATTAGCAATATCGAATCTTAGGACGATTGTCTTAAATTTAAAAAAGTAGATATTTACAAATAATATATTAAAAAATTAGCATGGGAGAAAGGGAAAATATACTTCAGTTGAAGAGGCATTGACAGATTATAATTATTACTGTTTCTTTTACATTTAATTTCTCCCTAGAAAAAATTTTAACCAATTTTAGTTCATTGGGATTAATTATGAGCCATTATATGTTCTTACATTGTTACCATGTTTATAAAGAGTTTATAGCAATTCTAGTTAACACTAGATGGTGTCAATCGCAATTAATATTAATGTGAACTTGAGCTTAACTAGCTAACCACACTTTTTTTAATGAACTCTTTGTTATATTGAATATTAATACTTTTTTTCTAGTAATAATAACTGTATCCATTTAAAATTACTTAATCTTTATTAGTCACGTCATGAAATATTACTATTCCAAGGTAAAATATATTTTTAACTCATACAGTTGCACCTCTAACTGACAGAGTTAACTTCCTTTTGAACAAAGTAAGGAAAACGATTTTTTTGATTTATAGATGTTTAAATAAAAAAGAAAATTTAAGTTCCCTTGCATCACTGCTACTTGAACTAGTTTTTTGCAATTATTTCTTAATGGTACACATTTAATTAATCAATTAATGTGTAGGTATATTTAATTCAAACAGATACTACTTGATTTAAAGCCACTTAAGTGCTACTGATTGTAGTTAATTCCTATTAAATACCCATTAAATTTGGGAAAAAAACCGTTAGGTTCGCGAATTAAATTTTGTACGAAAAAAAGAAGATTAGGTTATCGATGAGAAAGTTTTTATTGAATAAATTCGTCATCTAAAATTTTATTTCATTATACAGGGTGTTCCATAAGCTCAGACAAAGTGAGACAACATTTTCTATAAATTATTAAGAAACTGTTTTTGTACAAGCAGTAAAGAACAGTGACATTCTAACGTCAACACCAAAAAAAGGGCCTTAGGACAAAAAAATCACCAACACAATTCGAGATGTTATTTATAGCATGTAGAGTCGAGTAAATGTATATAAATAAACTATTAGTCAACAATTATAAATTAATGTGTGATTCTTTGTGAGTGAAAATAATGGAAAACAGTTTTTCAATGAATTTCGCACATTATTGCATACCTTGTTGTTAAAAATATATCTCAAATGAAAGAAAGATTAACCAATACGAGGTCTAATTGAACTTTCTGATTTTGCCGTGGAAAGACAAAATTTTTATGAAATAAAAGAAGCAAGTTTGTATCAGTTTATTTTTATTGACGAATCTTGGATTTTCCAAAACGATACGATAAACCTTATTGGCAAAATATCAATATTTTCTGTTAATTTGACATACCTGAATCAGAGCTTCGGGTTGTAATGGACCTTGGAATCGATCTGCTGCTTCGCTGAGAATTTCCAATTCCTGCTCCAGCTGCCTACAGGAAGCGTTAGCTGTGACGTAGGCAGAAGCTAGCAAGAAGGCTCCCAATATGACGGAACAAACTACGACGGTTGCTGCTATGATTTTGGCGATTTGAACAGAGGAACTGCGAGGTTTCATGTATGCCTGAAAAAAATATAAAAATAATATTCCATCTTAAAAGCTTATAAAGATTGATTTATATATCTTTTGCTGGTAATCTACAATAAGTATTTTAAAACATTTATATTTCCTAGTGAATTAAAGAGAACGAGATTGATACCAATTTTTAAAATTTATTAACTTTCAGTAATAAAATATCAAAATGTGTTAATTCTCGTGAAGGGTTCTATTGTTTTTACACTGATTTCAAGAATGTTTTCGATAAGGTAATTCACAACATTCTCCTAGCTAAACTGATATATATATATATATATATATATATTATGATCTCAGCGATCATGTAATAACATTATTTTAGTCTTATCTAAAACGTCTCAGTACGTAATGTTTAGTGGTGAAGCATCTAATTCAATCCTCGCAGGTTTTGTAGTCCCTCAAGGCTCCTATGTAGGCCTTCTACCTTTTTTTAATATTTATCAATGTTCTCGCTCTACGTATTACATCAGATTAGATAGTTTTTAAAAAACTATTCACCCTAGATGACTATTTAGACATTTAAAAAAGATTTTGACTCAATTTCGGTTTGGTCATTAGAAAATAAATTAATTTTTCAAATGCAAGGTAATTACATTCAATAAAATTTGTAATTTTTAAAATTTTATCTATACACTGCAAGGATCAGCATAGGGGGGAGTATAAAAAAACAACAAATTTGAAGATTAATATTTTTGTTTGTTTTATAAACTTTATTTCGGTTAAGTTTCTTTCAGGTTCAGTTTTTTGTAGTATATAATTATTGAATGTACCTGTATTATTCTATATTTAAAAATGTTATTAAGTTAAATTAATAGTTAGGAATCCATTGCGAAACTAAATAAATTGCACGTTAAAAATACACAATAATTATATAACGCGGCTTATAAATAATAAACGTTTGAATCGACTTTACAAGTTTGTTGTCGTACCAGGTACCACGAACCATTCCTAGTGGTTCTGCAAAATTGTTCATAAATAATTTACGATAGTTGTCATAATAATATGGACAAGGTCATCGTCATCCAACCAATCGGAATATTGTTTTAATTTCTTTTTATTATTCTTTAGAGGACGTTTAACTTCAACTACAGGATGATAAATATTAGACACTACTTATCGTTCGAAAATAATGAAAATATTATAGGAATGTCAAGTGTCAGCTCAGGATAATACCGGAATTTTAGATTTTCCGGTGATATGACGAGGGTAAACCACTGAAGATGAGGATTTCTCGAGGATATATGATGATTTATTGAGGATGTATAAGACTATAAAACTCTTCTACATTAATTTATTTGCTAAAAAACTATTAACGGATAAGGATAAGATATGACATTAAAAATTAAATTACAGAATATCATTCAAGGAAGTATGTTCTATTCTCAGAACATTGAAATGTGCATGGCTTTCGGTAGAATAAAATCTTTAGCCTCAAGTGAGGTCAGTTAGTCAAGATTTTTCTCGTTTCTAATCCTAATTGAACTTTTTTAGAATAAAAACCGTAGCCATCAAGGTTCACTTGATCGTTATTAAAGTCATCAAATACTTTCAATTTTATGCATCTCAGATGACGCAATTTTTGTTGTATAAATTGTTGCAAATTACAGTGATTAAAATGGTAATATAATAAAATAAAACTTAGGCTTATAGATACAAGGATTGTTCTAATTCTAGACAATAAAACCATTGTATTTAGATAGATCTAAATACAATAATCGAACTCATTCATTCTTATTATTGTTTGGATATTTTATTTTCGCGCATTGATGCCGTTTTTCCTAGATTTTCCTAATCCACATAATTTGTTTGCTTGATTGACTATTTTAATTCATTTAGAATTGTTTTTGTTCTCTATTATGTTTATGCAACATAAAATCTGGCGTTGATAATCGCTGCTAACCACCACGTAGACAGTGATACTGGAATTTTCGCTCTATGAGATTCGAAGCGTGGAGAAAGCTCTCGAGATTCTTCTAGCAGGATTGGTTATTTCTAGGCCGATACATTTTTATATAATTTTTTTTTGTTAGAGTATCGTTACTAGTCATTACTGACTAACCTACAATTTTAATCTAAAAATCTTATAACAAAGTACTTAACTAAGAAGTCCCCATTGTTTCCATAGGAAAGCATCACAAGTTGGCGTGACGATTTATTACACTGTTTTACACTAGCACTAACATTAACGTTCACTGCACTAGTGCACTAGCTCAAATGGCTTCTTCCTTTTGGACCTTCTGTTAAGTGTAGAGTTGTCCAGTAATTGCAGCGCTTCTTCGTTGACGTGGGAGTGGAGTCGACCCTCATGTTTCGCAGCAAACCTCTTTATTTCTTCTTCGATTGTTGGAATCTTCAGGTCTCTATGAAGATAATCGTTTTGGTAGAACCAAGGTGCATCAACAATGCATCTTAGGACTTTATTTTGTAAAACTTGTTGATATTACTCTTGCTGGCACATCCCCATAGCTGTATGCCATAAATCCAGATTGGTTTTAGAATTTGTTTATAAATCAGCAGTTTGTTGTGCACTGGCAATTTGGATTTTCTTCCTAGGAGCCAATACATTTTTTTGAATTTAAGTTCGAGTTCTTTTCGCTTTTTTTTATGTGCTCTTTCCATTTAAGTCTTACATCTAGGTTCATCCCTAGGTATTTGGCCGAATCGTGATGCGGAATAACGTCATTGTTTATTTTTATTTGTTTTTGTTCATTTGGTCGAAGAGTAAAATCAACATGCACTGATTTAGTTTGGCTTATTTTTATTTTCCACTTTTTTGTCCATCGATACATTCTGTTGCAGGTTTCCTGAAGTTTTTCTGAGGTCTCTGTATTAATTCCGCCAACTGCCAATATTGCAGTGTCATCCGCAAATGTTGCTATTTTAATAGATTGTTGTTTAGGGATATCGCTAGTGTATAAGAAGTAAAGAACTGGTCCTAGCACACTGCCTTGTGGGACACCTGCTTTAATTTCTTTCATTTCGGAGTATGCCTCGTCTTGCTTTACTCTAAACATTCTTCTCGTTAGATATGATTGTAGAATGTCGACATATTGTCTAGGGAGCATTTTTTCAAGTTTCCGTATTAGGCCAGCATGCCAAACCTTGTCAAATGCTTGGGCTACGTCAAGAAATATATCTGAGCATATATATTTTTCTTCGTAAGCTTTTACGATGATATCGGCTATCCTGTGTACTTGATCTATTGTCGAGTGTTTGTTTCTAAAACCAAATTGGTGCAAAGGGATCACATTTTTATTTTCAATTATTGGTTTAAGTCGTTTTAGCAGTAGTTTTTCAAAAACTTAGATATTATCGGTAACAATGATATAGGTCTATATGATGACACTTCATTCAGAAGTTTTCCTGGCTTAGGAATTAGGATAACTTCAGCCATTTTCCACACATCAGGTATATATTTAAGGCGAAATGCTGCATTAATGAGGTATGTCAATTTAACAATAGCCTTCCGTGATAGTTTCTTTAACATTTCACCAGTAATAAGGTCATATCCTGGGGCTTTTTGTGAGTTGATGTTTGTCTGAAGTTCTTTCATAACTTCATTGGGCGTAACTAGCTTAATTTCAAGTTGTTCCATATTATGGATGGTCTCATTAGGAGTGTCTTGATTTTCATCTAATTGGAACGTCTTTTGTAGGTGGTCACCGAAAATATCAGCTTTTTGTTGATTGTCTTTTGCCCATTTGTTATCTGCTATTCTAATTGGAGGACAGTGTTTACACGAATTTTTCGTTGCCTTCCAGAGTAAATAATCAGTTTCTTTATCATCTGTTAGCCCTACTAGGTATCTGTTGAAGGATTCTTCTTTGTGATTTAGGATTTCTCTTCTCAGTCTTTGGGTAGCCCTATTTAATATATTTTTATATTCTGGTGATCTTGTCATCTGCCATTACTTTCTTAGTTTTCTTTTTTCTGCTACTAGTTCTCTTTCAGTTCTTCATCTAGCTGTTTTTTCGTTTTTAGTGTTATGGTCAGTTGGATAGTATTTGTTAAGTCTTCTTGAAAACCTTCCCAATTAGTTTTCCGATTTGCTAGGGTCGGTTTGGCTTCTTTTTGAATAACATTATCACTTAGAGTAAGGATTACTGCAGAATGGTCTGAATCCATATCAAAGTTTTCTTCTACTTGCGTATAGTTTGGTTAAATTTTCCTCAGAATAAAGAAATCCAGAAGGTCTGGAATCTTATTTGGGTCGGTGGGCCAATAGGTGGGTTTTTCAGAAGATTGGTATGTACAACCAAGTTCTGATGCAGCTCGGTGCAATTCTTTTCCTTTGACTGTGGTTAATCTTGAACCCCAGTTGGTATTTTTGGTGCTAATGGTTACCTGATTTTCTGGTTCTTGGATGCCTGGTTCCTCATAGTGAGAAATATTATTTTTAATAATTAACGCACTTCCTCCTCTTGCTGCATTTGATGGATGGATAGTGTTATAGAAGTTATATCCTCTGAAAATAATGTATAACTCTATTATAAGGTGGGTTTCAGAAATCAGACATATCTATTTTTTGTACGTCCAAGAAAACTTGGATATCAGTTTGTTTTTAGAGAATACCATTGGCATTCCAAGTGGCTATTCTAATATCTCTTTTGTCCATTAGTGGTTTTGTTATACATTTGGGGTTTGTTTAATTCTTCTAGCTTCTGGAGCCTATCAGAGAGTGGTTATTAAGGATAATAATAATTCATGAGTAGTACTTTCTTCTGCTAAGTTGGTTGACTGTGCAATATGCTGTGCAATTTGTGGCGTGGGATTCATGGCTGGTTGTGACCTTTGAAAAATGTCCTTTTAATATTGAAGCCTCGTTTAATTTAATTATTAAATTGGCCCGAACTATTTAATATTTCAAATGCCAAATTATTATAACAGTTTCATTATATTGCTAATCATTATTCTAATTCAATAATTTATCTATCCATCTAGGATTTTCGAACAAAATAAAATAGAACGCAATACGTATCACAGAAAAA